TTGTCCTCTTCAATCCTCAAACGCACAATCAATTCTTCTGAAGATATTTTTTTGCGCTTGTGTTTAAGGTAGTTCTTGAATTCCTTCTAGCCTTGTGGTAATTTTTCAATTAAGGCAGCAACTTGGAAGGATTCACTGAAAGACATGTCTTCTGTATGAATGTCATACAGAATGAGTTAGAGATCTTGAACTTGGCTGATCACAGTCTTTGAATAAACCATCACAAAATCCAGAAATTTGCCAACCACAAATTTTTTTGAGCCAGCATCTTCTGCTTTGTACTTTTTCTCCAAAGACTTTCAAAGTTCTTTTGCTGTCTTGATAGGACTATAGACGTTGTATAATATGTTGTCAAGTCCATTCAAGATGTAGTTCCGGCAAAGAAAATCAGCATGTTTCCAAGCATCAACGGTTGCTACCACTTGTCAGTCAGTTTCATCCTCGTTTAGAGTAGGAGCATACTCATGGAGAAAATGAGTCAGGTTTAGAATTGTAAGATAGAACAAGATTTTCTGCTGCCATCTTTTAAAATCAATTCCTGAGAACTTCTCTGACTTCTCACCGTGATTCACTAGCACAGTCACAACAGGAAGGGTTGGAGCAATTATATGGGTATGGGGTTTGATATCTGAGATGTTGATTGCATCTGTGAGTTCCTGGAAGTCCAGTCAGAAGAGCACTTGATCACTACTATTTCTGATTGGAACTCTAGCAACGTCATGAAACAATCATTATCTAGAAAGAAAATCGGTATGTGCATATGTGACTATGTGCTTATGTGGAATGAATTACCTGTTGTCCGTTGCCTTACGATGTGAGTGAGTTAGCTTCGGCACAATTGTGATTGTGCTAATCTCAAGTGTTACCTTTATTAGGATGTTAGGAAGTGGAAGGGGCAGTGGTAGGCGTGGTAGGCCTAAGAGGCACGAGATGCCAATACCGAATGACATTCCGACATAGGAGGAGGGGACATGACAGAAAAATGTGGCTGAGCCAGTTGGGCAACAGGCCATGGGTGCTTTGGTACGAAAGATAGCAGGGGCACTGAACATATTGAGGGCTGAGAACCTAGCACAGGCCCCAGCTACCCCAACTGGCCCAGTTGCAGCCAGCTACCCCAACTGGCCCAGTTGCAGAGATAGGACCACTCTTGCTAAAAAGGGAGTTCTTCCGGACCAATCCGGATATTTTTGTGGGAGATCCTAAGGAGCCGCTGAAGGCTGATGAGTGGCTAGAGCAGATGGTTAAGACATTCGATATGCTAGACATTGAGGACGATGCTTTGAGATGACCTTAGCATCCTTTCAGTTGAAGGGAGAAGCGGGTCAGTGGTGGAAATGCGCACGAGAACGTATTGGGGTGACCTAGGAGGCCTTTGTCAACGCCTTTCAGGAGAAGTATTTGCCTGCTACAGTCAGAGAGAGGTTGAGGGAATAGTTCAAGAACCTCAAATGGTAGCTTGGCACATCGGTGGCAGAGTTCAAGGCCACATTTGCTAGTTTGTCCAGATTTGCTCATGAGCTTATGATGATAGAGGAGTGCCGTTATATCGAGTTTGAGACTCGACTGAGAGATGAGCTTGCCTACTTTGTGGACGGGTCTATGATGAGGGAGTACAACCGTCTTGTTAAGGGAGTGGCATATATGGAAACCCGGTTAGGAGCTGGAGAGAGGGAGATGAGGGGTTTCAAGCAAAGAGGCTAGGAGATGCAGGGTGAGGCCCGAGACAGCAAGAGGCAGAGGGGTTTTACACCACAGCAGTCTCATGGGGCAAAGTCTAGGTCCACTTTTCCAGTGCTGAGTTTAAGGGCAAAGAGAGGTGGCCAGGGAGGATTTTCTTGTTTCAAGTGTGGCCAGCTGGGTCACAAGTCCGTTTTTTGCCCACAGAAGGGGGGAGGATAGCAGTCTTCTCTGTCTTCAATCCGCCCACCGAGCCAAAGTCAGGGGAGGGGGCAATCTTTGACTTGCTTTCAGTGTGGACAGGCAGGACACATGAAGCGGTACTGTCCACAGTTGGGTAGTACACCTGGTGCATCTGGATCGAGACAGACTTAGAGTCACCAGCTAGCATAGTCGGCACAGGCCTCAAGGGCCATTCTGGGAGGGAGCCTCTTCAGCTCAGTTTGTACATCCGACTTATGCTCTGAGAGGGAAGTAGATAGATCAAATACCTACTGGATGTGTGTATGTTGTTACCATTCCAGAGTTAGTGCCAACACCTTCGGTTGCAAAAGGTACCTTCTTGTTCTACAATTCTATTGCCAATATATTGATTGACATGGGTGTATCACATTTCTTTATCTCATCTGCATTTGCATCGGCATTGGGGTTAGAGTTGGGTCGGTTAGCATTGCCACTTTGTGTAGAGTCACTGGTTGGGGATGAGATTGTGTTAGAACAAGGAAGTCAGGATTGTGATATAGAGGTTGCCGATCATCGACTTCTATTTTCTTTTGCTTTGCTTGATATGTTGAGCTTTGATGTTATACTGGGTATGGATTGGTTATCTACGTATGGGGCTATTATAGACTGTTACCGTCAGAGGGTTACTGTGTATACCTCGAGCGGTGACTGCTTTTATTTCTTGGGAGATCGGGTTGATAGGGCTTTGTTGCTGGTTTGTAACCTGCGTAGTCGGGGCGAGCTTAGCCTATTTCTTGCTGCATTCTTGGGGGCAGAGAGTGATATAGTTCGGGTTGAGTTGCCGAGGGTAGTCTGTGAGTACCCAGATGTCTTTCTTGAGGATCTTTTTTGTTTACCATCTCACTGAGAGATTGAGTTCTTTATTGACCTAGTGCCGGGCACATCACCAATTTCCATGGCTCCGTATAGGTTTGCATTTGTTGAATTGAGTGAGTTAAAGATTCAGCTCCAGGAATTGCTAGACAAGGGTTTTATCCGCCCTAGTACTTCGCCTTGGGGAGCACCAACCCTTTTTGTGAAAAAGAAGGATGTGATTACCGGAAACTAAACCAGGTGACTGTTAAGAACAAGTACGCATTGCTCCATATAGACGATCTGTTTGATCAGTTGAAGGGGTCTTCTTGCTTTTCAAAGATAGACTTGAGATCGGGTTATCACCAGTTGAGGGTGAGGGAGGAGGACATCCCGAAGACAGCATTTCGTATGCGATATGGCCACTATGAGTTCCTAGTCATGCCTTTTGGGTTGACTAATGCACCGGCTTTATTTATAGACCTGATAAATCGAGTTTTTCGTGAGTATCTTGATCGTTTTGTGGTTGTCTTTATTGCTGAAATTCTAATTTATTCACTCTCTAAGGAGGAGCACGATGAACACTTGCGGGTCGTATTGGAGTTGCTTAGAGTCCATTAGTTATATGCTAAGTTTGAAAAGTGTGAGTTTTGGCTGAAAGAGATGAAGTTCTTAGGCCATATGATATCTGGGGAAGGGGTGACTATGGATTTCTCCAAGATAGAGGCAGTGCAAGATTGGGGGCAACCCAAGAATGCCTTCAAGATCTGGAGTTTCTTGGGATTGGTTGGGTATTATCGCAGTTTTGTGAAAGACTTTTCTAATCTGGCCGCTCTATTGACCAGACTGACGAGGAATAGAATCAAATTTGTGTGGAGTGAGACTTGTGAAAAGTCATTTCAGGAGTTAAAAATTAGACTCACTACTGCTCTACTTTTGATTACCCGGGAGAGGGGTTTGGGTTATGCTGTATATTATGACGCATCTCGAGAAGGTTTGGGCTCTGTCTTGATGCAGAGGGGAAGATAATTACTTATGGTTTATGACAGTTAAAGATTCACAAGAGAAACTACCGTACTCATGATCTAGAGTTAGCTGTAGTGATCTTTGCCCTGAAGATCTAGAGGCATTATTTATATGGTGAGAGATTCGAGGTGTGCTCGGATCATAAGAGTCTGAAGTACTTGTTTTCCCAGAAGGATCTAAATCTGAGACAGAGGAAGTGGATGGAGTTCATGGAAGACTATGACTTCAAGTTACATTATCATCCTGGGAAGGCCAATGTTGTGGCCGATGCTTTGAGTCGAAAATCATCTGGCAGTGCAGTTTGTATTGCCGTCTGGGAGTGAGAGATGTTGGGTGCTATCGGCGAGTTTGACTTGCATCTTGGCGAGTCTGCTGAGTTGGCCACCTTGTTTACTGTAGTTGCATAGCCTACACCAGTGAGCCGAGTTATTGAGTTACAGAGGGGTGATCTGAAGGTTGAGACCATCCGGGAGAAGATTGCTAATGGTAATGTGGAGAGGGGTCTGAATATGCATTCTGATTTGAGTATTAGGTATGTTGACTGACTTTTTGTGCCAGAGTCTTGCCGGGAGGAGGTACTTCGTGAGTTTTATCACTTACGCCTTGTGGTGCATTCGAGAGGTACGAAGATGTACCATGATCTTAGCTGCCAGTTTTGGTGAAAGGGGACGAAGAGGGACTATTGTTAGCAAGTGAAGACCGAGCATTAGAGGCCAGCGGGTTTGTTGTAACCCTTGCCTATAACCTAGCGAAAGTGGGAGCATGTCACTATGGACTTCGTTGTGGGTCTTCCGAGGACTCAGCGGGGTAGTGATGCCATTTGGGTGATTGTGGATCGGTTGACTAAGCCAACGCATTTTGAACCTATGCGCATGAGTGACTCCGTAGATCATCTTGCCGACCTTTATATTCGAGACATAGTCTGACTTCATGGGGTTCTAGTGACTATTGTCTCGGATAGAGATCCACGTTTTACGGCTTGGTTGTGGCAGAGCCAACCGAGTGCCTTGGGCACTAAATTGACTTTTAGCACCACCTATCATCTCTAGATTGACAGACAGTCAAAGCGTACTATTCAGATCCTGGAGAATATGCTTCGGGGTTGTGTTCTTGATTTCAAGGGGTCTTGGGAGAAACATTTGCCTTTAGTGGAGTTTGCCTACAACAACAGTTTCCAGTCGAGCATGGGACCATTTGAGGCCTTGTATGGCCGACCGTGTAGATCCCCAGTGTGTTGGGCCGAGGTGGGTGATGCACCTATGTTAGGCCCAGAGTTGGTTTGGGAAACGACAGAGAAGATTGCTCTTATCCGTAAAAGGTTGGTTATAGCTCAGAGTCATCAGAAGAGCTACGCCGACCATAGGAGGAGGCCGTTATCTTTTGAGGTTAGGGATCATGTATTTCTTAAGATCTCACCTAAGCGGGATTTGATGAGGTTTGGAAAGAGGGGGAAGTTGTCTCCGCGCTTTATTGGGCCTTTTGAGATTTTGGAGCGTATTAGGGAAGTGGCATATTGGTTAGCTTTGCCGCCACCACTATCTGGAGTGCACGATGTTTTTCATATTTTTATGCTTCAGAAATACAAGCCTAATCCATCACACGTATTGGATTGGACTGAGTTACAGGTGGACGAGGATGTCTCTTATGAGGAAAGACCAGTGAGGATCTTAGACACTCGGGATCAGGTCTTGCGTGGCAAGACAATTCCCTTGGTGAAAGTGTTATGGAGACACCACGGGGTTGAGGAGGTGACTTGGGAACGTGAGGCTGAAGTTCGTGAGAAGTATCCGGACCTTTTTATCAATGTTTGAGAGTTGTAATAGAAATATTATTTTGATATTAGGATGTACATTGTATATGTTATGGAATAGGGTGAATTTCTTATGTTTAATTGGGAGATTGTGTTATCATACCATGATTGTGTTTCTATAGTTGTAATTGATTTTGATTCAGCGAGGTTATCTAGTTTAAATTTCAGGGATGAAATTCCTTAAAAGGGGAAAATTGTAACGAGTTGAATGAAATTTAATTTATACTTTAATCTCAATTAGGGATTTATTTTAAATTATTAAACTCCATTCATTTTGAACTTAATTGATTGAATCGTGACCTGTTAGTAACCATGTAATATTGTTGTGGTTTTATTATTATTATTTGATTATCATAAAAGAGTTGTGAATATTTATGGTGTATACCATTAAACGAAATATATTTTATTGTGAGAAAATATTATATTTACTGTCATTAAAGATGTTGCAATGTATTTTAATTGATATATATATATATATATATATATATAGGTGTGTATAATATATATATAGTTAGATATTTGTTTAGTTAAAAAAAAAAAGAAATATCTATAAATAGTATCCAAATTAATATTTTGTTAAACTTTTGGGTTCTTGCCGTGAGGAAAGAAAGAAAAGGGGTTCCAAGTTGGTTTTTCTTGGGTTTGATTTAATGTAAGTCATTTTTGACCGCTAGTGCTTTGAATCAAAACGTAGAGGGCGAAAAAGGCGTCGTTTGGCTCTGAACAGGTTTAGTTTCTGTTGCCAAAAAATTTGAAAGCTTCTTGGCTTGAGGTAAGATTTTTTCTACACTTTTTTATGCACTTATACTTGATTATATAAAACTTAGAGTTGTAAGTAATTTAATTAGAATTTTTGAAAAATTTGTAATTTATTTGCTTAAAAGAGAAATTTTGAGAAAAATAAAGAGTTGATACCCAAATTGCGAAAGTGTAAACTTGGAATATGTTTGTAAGGTTATGAAAGATCTATGTTTTAAATTTGAACAAAAATGGACTTTGACTCAATCGGTTTTGAAATTTTTACCGGTTTGTGACCAAAAGAGCATTTTTAAAGAAAACAAAGGAATTAGGTTTAACTTTTGGGACTTTTGATCAAAATAGGATGTCATAGTTGAATAATGCTTTTGGAAAGAAAGTGATATTTTCTAGGCCATTAACGGCATTATTTTGCTTAATGTATATGTTGAAATAAAAATCGACATGGTTAGAAATGGACCTTGAGAGGTTATCGAATGTGATTGTGATTTGAAAACTAGTGTAGTTATTCATATTTGATGAGATGTGGAATAGATTGTATTTATCAGAATTTTTAAAATTTAATTGTTTAAATATCTGTTTAGAAATATCTGTTTTGGGCTATCGATGGAAAATAGCTATGATTGTTGTAGAAATGCATAAGACTTAGGTAAATTGAACCACATTCCTTATTTGTTGCATTGGACATTGCATTACATTCATTTCATTGGAAATGTATTTGTTTTTTAGAAATGTTTGGAAATGTATCTGTTTGCGAAAAGATGAATACTTGGTGAATCTAGGTAAGGGGTGTAGATTCGCACGGTTAGGTGTCGAGCCTTCCAGTTTACTGATAAAAATGACAGTGGTAGTGCATTGGGGCTTACTTGCAGACACTCACCTAGAGATTCACAGAGCCTGTATTCATGTAACAGATATGATTTAAAATGGAAATAGTTTTATATCTGTTGTTGCATCTCAACATTGCATGATTTATAAAAAGAGAGATAAATTGTTTTAGCATGAGCATGGCATGAGCATACTCCTCTTTAGTCTTGTCATGGTCCATATGTTGTGTAGTATATCTCTATTAGGCTGTGGCTCACCCTATATGGAAAGCCATTTGAGGTACAGGTGCTATGCCTCCGCAAGGCACTAACTTGGGAGGACTCAGAGCTGAGACTCCATTTTTGTTTTATGGTTATTCATTGAATGTAAGTCTAGGGCTATATTTGTGTTGAGTTAAAACTCTATTTTGTGTAACCAAGAATGTTCTTTGATAAATTTGTAAGCTTGTGGAGATTATCTGTTTGGCTTCCATTTCATACTTGTTGTAAAATGCATGCTTGGGATTGGAACTGGGTTATTGAGATGTGAACATCATGCATTTGACATTTGGGATTAAATGGAAATGGATATATGGAATAATTAGCTATATATATATATATATGTGTGTGTGTGTGTGTGTTTGTCTATCAGGTGGGTTTGTTGTATAAATAGATATACCTTGTCCAATTTTTTATTTTTATTTTTTTTTCGGGAGCGTTGCAGAAAACAACGTCAACTTCCCAATTACTCATAAATGGTTTTGACGAACCGTCTTTATCGTGTGACTTCTCATGTGACAAGAAACACGTTATCTCTTTGGACTCACCCCAAAAGACGTGTGGACCCCACTCAATTGGGCTAAAAAATGGCCCAAAATAAGCCTATATAAAACCAAATTTCCAACATTTTGAAATTACATTAGTCTCCTTTAAATTTTTGATTCACATAATAGTTAAGTCATTTTTCATAAGGATGAAAAAAAATAATGATATTTTCAATTATTTTTAACTTAAAAATATATTTATTTTTATTTATTTCAATCTCTACTCATCATTTACATTAGTTTCAATCGTTTTAACTTTATTTAAAAAGGAGATCAACATAATCATATATAAAATTTAAAAAATTTAAAACTAACCGTTTTTTCTCTAAATTATAGGGAAGGTGAATATAATTTAAGAAGATACTACAATATGCATCCTAAAAAATGTGCATACGGTATGTTTTTTATAATTTTTTTACAAAATTTTATAATTTAAACACAAAATGTCGTAACTTTTTTATGACTTTTTTATACTAAAAAATGTCATAACAAAGTCCAAAAATGTCATAATGAAAATCATAAAGTGTCATAACATTATCATCCCTAATTTTAGAGTATACACCATTCATAACTTTATCACAAAGAATTAAAATATTTATTATAAAAAATGGGTATGTTTGGTTTGTGTTTGAGAGATGTGTTTTAGAGATAAAAAGTACGAAAAGTTGTTTGCTTTGATTTTTTTCAAAAGATGTTTTGGAAAATTATTTTGAGAGAGAGTTTTGGAAAAAGTGATTGATTTGATGTGTGTGAGAGAGAGATTTGTTTAGAAAACTTGTTTGGTTTACAAGTTTTGAGAAATTTTTTTGGAAAAATTTCTTTGGTTTGATTACTTTTAAAAACTTATTTGTAAAAAAAATTTCTCATATTTTTTTCAGAAATACAAACTAAACGAACCCATAATTTTTTTACCATATATACCATTTTAAGAGAGACACATTATAAATTTCTCCTATAATTTATCCTAAATGATTTTAGTCTTGTCCGGTTTGCAAGGAAAAAAAAATGACGCATTGCTTCACTTTTTCCGCGAGTACCAAATTGCAATTATAGAGCCAAGACCCCATTTATTTATTGGGCAAATTACATATACACCCCTCCAGGTTTGGCAAAATTACAGATACCCCCCTGAGGTTTGAGAAATTACGAATTTCCCCCTGAATGCTATATTTACATAAGAAATTAGGGGGTAATTTGTTATGAAATATAAACCTCAGGGGGTAAATTGTTATGAAAATACAAACCTCAGGGGGCGGGATGTAATTTCCGAAACCTCAAGGGTATCTGTAATTTAACCAAACCTGGAGGGGTGTATATGTAATTTGCCCTTATTTATTTATTGTTGAATTGACTTTTTTTGGGCTCAATTTATTGTTGAATTGATTGATATAGGATTATTATATTGTTGAATTGATTGGTATAGGATTTTGAAACATTTTCATCATTCACATTATCATTTTTTTTAAGGTGAGGTCTAGATGTCATTTTCATATTGTTATTTTCATTTCAAATAAAACGATAATTTTGATGTTGATTTTGATTTTGATTATTATTATTTTTGTGTGTGTTGTCGTTGTACAACTGTCAAGGTTGATGACATCACAATGTATAAGTCAATAATGAAGAACTCATGGGACGAATAAAGGGATGTGAAGGAAGGGAAATCAAGGTTGTGTTTGGCTTAAGTTTGAAATTAATATTTTATTCTTATATTTAAATGTTATGTTTGGCTAAAATTTTTAAAAATTGATTCTAAGGCTACGTTAGAATGTATGTTTGGCAGAGTAGAGTTTTAAATTTTGAATTTACGGATTGGATCTATTTGGTTATTGTCTACCTAGACATCTTCGGATGTTCGGTCAGTTGACTGGAATAGTGGTTTTTTTTTTCTTTTTCAATTGCAACCTATTATTTGAAAAAAAAAATTTATTTTTGATATTTTTTAAATATAGAAAATATTTTTTTAATCGTTTTTAAACAAAACAATTAAAAAAAATTCCAAATTACAATCAAAAGTAATTTTAAAGCACTAGCTAAATATTTTTTTAATAAAAAATAATATGTTAGATAAAAAATATTTTCGGAATTTTTAAAATTTTTTAAATAAAAAAATTATTTTTTCAATAATTATTTTTTAAAAAGAGTTTGGTTATGAATTTTGAATATAATTTTTTAATAAAGTTTCGAGTTGTATGTTTAGTTATGGGTTATAAATTTTTGAATTAAATATTGAATTTTTGTTTTCAAAACTCATAATCAAATAACTTTTCTCATTTTAAAACTCATTTCACAAATTCAAAACTCAATTCAAACTTCAATTCAAAACTCTTTTCAAAACTCATAATGAAACAAATTTTTTCTTTTCAAATTATAATTTAAAAACTCACAAACTCAAAATATAACTTCACACTCAAATTATAATTCTAAAAGTAAATCAAACGCTACCTCAATTACTCTTCCGTGAATTATTCATATCTTTAACCATGCATTTTTTCCCTCTTTTCTTTCTTAAAAAAGAAAAAAGAAAAAAAAAAAAGAGTCCATTCTTACATAATGTTTTATACAAAAATACATTCAGAATGATAGAATAACATTATTTAAGAAAACCGTCTTCG